CCAAGTTCCATTCTGTTAATAGCTTTGTTACTGCTTGATCTATAATATAAACACAAAAAACATATGAATAAATCACACATGCGCAAAAAAAATTGCGGAATGAGCGCGGGACACATGTGTCCCGCGTTGTCCCACGTGGTCTGCGAAACGCGGGACATATATGTCAACGATGTCGTCAACGTGTTAAGCAGATGATGTCCAATGAAAGAGGCTGGTCAGGCCTTAGGCAATATGAAAAAATAGAATAGGCCCGGACCTAGCTCCATTCCATACATTATTCAGTGGTCGAGAAGGCATAGAGACGGATTAAGCGAGTCACTTACTCCCTTTATGCATCGACGCAGTAGTTGAAAAGGAGTTCGTAGCTTTATACCAGATCCGCTCCCAGCTCCTAGTCATCCTAGCTAGTTGACTCGCGGCGCGCCTCATTTTAGTTATCAGCAACAGCCTTTTTTTTCGCTGTGAGATATGCGAAGTTTCTATCCATGAAACCAATCTAGTGAATGACTATTTGGGATTTTTTGTGATGTTTTGAGTTTTCACTTCAAAAACTTCCGACACTTTCAAAATAGGTTCTCGTGAGTATGAAGTGGTAATCGCTCAGGCAAAACCTGTTGCTCGCAATAAGATCACTGCCCATGTAGTGCTTGAATGGTCTGTTCCAGGAAACAATCTGCAGCTGCTCGGACATGGGAGGAAATTCTCAAGGACTACCCAACTGACTTGATTGCTATCAAATTCGCTCACGACACTTATTTTTACCTTGGAGATGCAAAAAATATTCGCGACTCAATCAAGGCCGTTCTGCCGAAACATAAAGGAACTGAGCCATGCTACAGGTAAGGTTTGATAGATCGTCTCCAAAATGATCGCCTTGACATTTCCCGCTATCGAATTTGATTGAATAACTCCCTTGTCTATAGCTACCTTCACGGAATGCTGGCATTTGGACTAGAGGAGTGTGAACAGTACGCTGAAGCAGAAAAAGAAGCATTGAAGGTATAACATTTCCGAAGATGAAAATTGTAAAGGGATGTATTTCCCATATATATTGAGTGTTCTTATGAGGAAGGCGGGTTTTGTGTTAAAGGGCGTGGCTGGAAGCTTCCGGCAAAGAGAAGGCTTGAAGTACAAAAGTAATCTTGACGAGGGCTTCAGAGGCTCAACGGCCACCTGCCGATGATTTCCGCACTTCAATCACCTCTTATCGGAAAGCCGCGCATCATTTTGTTCGCGGATGGAGCCTCAGTGAGATCAGCCGGACTTTGTAATTTCTCTTCGGATTTTCGTAATCTGATTCTCATCGAAAACCGAAAGGCCGAGGTGGCCTCGAGCGGTAGCCAGTAATGTTCCAGTCGCGAGCCAGATTAGTCCAGTGGATGGTCCTCGCTCGATAGATACAAGCCACAG